GTCACAATCATCCATATATTCACAAAAATACATAAAATTTACGTTCCCACCACTAATGCTTTGGATTTAAATAAAGGATTAAATACGCTAACAAAATTATCAAAATTCTGTGCGAAAGTTTCGAGGGCTGTAGACATGGCTTACAAAATTACTGAATTAAGCATGTTTAAGTATGCACCAATCACGTCATGTGACTTGAGATGAGACCAATCAGCAGATATAAGGCTATATTTTGACCAAATCGTCAGTTTTAATTTTGATAATTTAAAGAAGCACGTCATTGTGTATTGCAACCAACTTGATAAGGCTAGTAATGGATGTTGAATAAAACTGTTATTTTTTGTTGAAATAAATATTTCGCTACTTTTTTTCATCGGTTTTTAAATGTAACTTAACGACGTACGTCACGACTCACGAGTGCCCTTTTCTTATAGTAAAACAATGTTTAATTATGAAAGTATTTTATTTTATACACCATATTTTTTTCCATATTTTTGATTTTTTCGTCCCTATTTTATGTAAATATTTTAAATTTTTTAATACTTATTTATCCGGGTCCTAGTGATTATGAAGAACTTTCGAGAAATACAGGAGCATTTAGAAGAATTGAAGTTTCATTTTAAAATATCATGGAAGGTGGTAGAAGAAGTGACATTAGTAACGACTAACGTCAGCGAGGCTGGCGTCTCCCTCATTGAAATAACGAATTTAATTTATTTTATTTTAAATGTGCATTATACATTATACAGTGTGCATGAAAAATTGTGTCAACCCTCTTAACTGCGTAATCAGTATCGAAACAACTTACATTTACATAATTATCAATAGAAATAATTAAATTAATTATTAAATAATTTACCGCCATCATACCTGCTGCGCTACCAGTGACGAACTCGAACGTACATTCACATTATTTTGATTGTTTAATCACTTTAACGATTCACTAATACCACTTTTTTTCAAATATCGATACGTTTCACTATGTTACGAATCAATTTAAAATAACACTTAGTTAACTAAAACGTATACGGCTCGAGAATTCACTGTTTTCATCGTTTTCGTAATGGTACTTTTCTTGAAGAAGCAAACAGTTCGTCATAAAGTCTACGCGATTCCACATAATTACAATCATATTTCCCTAGACACATTACCATATTGAAATATTCCTGGTTGGAGTACATTTTATAAAACAACACAATTTTATAAAACCGTAACCAAAAAGTCTAAACCACTCGGAAGAAATTTCCACGAGGAACTAATAATTTTTTCTTATTAAAATGGCGGCATAGGCTTGACTAAAAAATATCGATAAATCAAATATCGATAATCATAATAATAAATAAGTATGTAATATTCATATTATTTCGATATTTTATTTTTTTATATCATACATTAATACATATTATTTTTGATCGTAAAACACCATTTTTAACAGAAGTACATTAACGATATATCCTAATAATACAACATAGTTAATTTACGTGCAGGAGTTTCAAATTATAATTTTGATTAATAATATTTATTATTAATAAAAGTTGTTTTAAATGAAATGATTTTAATGTGAAAAGTATAACTATTTATAGCAATATTGAAAATATCGATAGAACATTTATCGATATACCTAATTTTTAAACTTGCAAATTTCTATTCGAAACACTAACAAAAGACGAGTGGCGCCCCGCCGGCGGCCGGCGCCTGCGATCTTAACATAAAACCATTGAATTATCTAAATTACTTTAACTTGTTACAACCAGTAAGCAAACTTAGTAATTCCTTTTAAAGTATAAACCATTGTTTAGTTTAATTAAATAAAATTAAATATTCACATTTGAATTATTTCTATTTCATCAAAATACGAAAATTTCTTTTATTTATATTACGATGACAAAGCAGAATGCGAACTGTTTGATGTTTCTCACAAAAGAATTGATTTTCGATGGATGAGAATTGGATAAACTAATAATAATAGTCAATCATAGTAACCGAAAAGAATTAATAGAAATAGACTTTCCTGTTCAGTTGATTAAAATCTCATTAATATTATAACGAAATTGTTTGGAATTTAATCTCTTTGAACCCGTGGAACAATTAATATGTACATACTTTCAGCAAGGTTTAGCAATTTCAACTACTTAAAAGCTATTAATACAGAAGGAGATTATTTTTCGTAAGCGAGGGTGCGCCTGCGAGTGTCGCCGTAGTGATGACGGACAAGCGTTACACATCTAAAGTCTATGTGGACTGACGAGCCCGGCGCAGTGCCCGCTCAGATGGCCAGCGGCCGCTAGCGGGGGCCAGCGGGGCTAGAGGTGCGCGGGCCCGGGCGACGCGAACTATAGACGCAGCGCGCATCCTCGATATATACAATTTAATGAGAAGTTTGTCCGCCGCAAGAAATAAAAATATTAAATAAATTTTAAACAATTAACATATAAATATAGAAATGAATATAAATTTAAATTTACAATATAAAAGACTGAAATCTTAATCTTAAAATTAAGTAACTCCGCTACTTGCGTATTGTGCTTTTATAATATAAATACGACACATTGTTGATTAAAGAATTGATTCCAAAGCAATATCAGACGTCTGATATTTATCATAATCATGTACATATTTTACCCTTCAGGTAAATTTGCATCGTCTGTCGAAACTGGCATACTCAATGTTTATATGAAGTAAATTGTTAACGATACGAATTTAGCAGAAGATAAATTAATGTATACATTAAAACATCAGTCTCTATGTACTTTTGAAAAGACACACTTAAGTTATTTGATTTTATTTTATTTGTTTTTATTTATGTGTGTTGTATTTTTTAGGTATGTTTTTTATGTGCGGGTTTTTATTGTGTGCTATTTTTATATTAACTGCAAGATAATATCATCAATCCAAAATCCCAACACGTACGTTATAACTTTTAACATTTTCTTAACATACAATGCAATTAATGAAAAAAACTAAAGCAAAAGACAGTTAGGTATTTTTAATGTGAATAGAACATAATATGTATATTAATTTTATTGATAAGTAATACAGATAGAAATTATAAAATTAACAAAATTATACTAAAACAGAAGTTATATTGAATTAATATGCAGTGTTTAGTTTAGTTAGGTACCGTCAAATGCTTTTTGACGCACTTTACTGAGGAACGAAAAACGTTGTCTAAGTTTAACAAAGTTATTTTATGAGCACAATTAGAAACAGACGTTGAACTTTAAGTGGATTAAAATAATGTATAAATAATGGAAAGCCTCGTAAATATACAAGTTGTACTGTAGTTAAAATGAATGATCTTTAAGTTTATACATTATTGTTATTAAAATGTTACATAAATTCATTATGTCACTATCAATGATTTAATTAAAACTTTGCACAACACACTGAATAGTGTCGGACCTTCTAAAATGAATATTGTATGAACACTTCTGTAAACGAATATGGTAACAATCTTTTATAAAAAATATCTATGATTCATTGTAAAAAATATATTCTCGACATTCTCCTAAAGCGACTTCTTTTTCTTTGAAAAAATAAAATTAATATATAACCATAGCCTTAAATATAAAAATATTGAAACTTAGAATGGCAACAGGAATCTTACATTCTTAACTTCTTAGTTTTAATCTAATAAGTTTGTGAAATTTTTTTCAATAGGTACATCAACTAGATATTGTAAGTATTTGACGTGAATCTTCTCTATATTCTGTCCTGACAAAGTTATGACACTATAATCAAATATCAATTAATAAATATTATTTGTAGCAGAAGTTTATTTTATAATTTATATACATGAGTGAGTAAGGGGAGTAAGGGGAGAACGGAACCAAGACCAAATCCGACCCAACTGTCAACCTCACCTGCTCGCGCTGGTGGTTCGTATGAATAGCTGGCGACGGTGATTCTTGTAGTCGCCGTGGTGCTCCCTGCTAGACAACGGACGAGGCTCTGGCGACCGAACGCTTGGCGGTATAACCAGTTTTCACTTCGTGTAAGCCTAAATACTTACACCATCGAACTAACACCTTAGGTTCGAGGGTTTTCCTGCTTCAATATGAAACAGGTTTTAGTGCGTCAGATGACAATCGGCACTGGACTAATAAACCCAAAACGTCAATTCTCTGGAACGAATGAAAAGGTTGCAAAGGGAATATCGTAAGACAGATAGGGCGTCGCCACAAAACGACGCGCAGATACATCGCCCTACCTCTGTGACAAGTATACGAGGGCTATCGGATCAAGGACGGGTCCGACTAAAGAAGCTAGTCCCGGAAAGCAACAAGAAAGTCCGCTTCGCTACGTTGAATGTTGGAACACTTTCAGGAAGAACTAAAGGACTCGCAGACTTATTTAAACGCCGAAGGTTGGATTTCATCTGTCTTCAGGAAACTAAATGGCAAGGTTCCAAGTCTCGTAACATCGGGGAAGGATACAAACTAATGTACGCAGGATCGCAAGGAAGACAAAATGGCGTGGCAATAGCGATTAGTCAAGAACATCTCGACAATATAATCGAAGTAAAGCGCTTTAGTGATAGAGCTATGAGTGTCAAAGTTGTGGTTCATAGCGAGGTAGTAAATATCGTCACTGCCTATGCTCCTCAAGTAGGATGCACTAAAGCTGAAAAAAGGTTATTTTGGACTCTACTCGATGACATCTTACAAGAAATACCTAGTAACGAAATTACCATAATGGGCAGTGACCTTAATGGCCATGTGGGTAAAAAGCATCAACCGTTTCAACGCATTCACGGGGGTCATGGGTATGGTAGTCCAAACGAAGAGGGTAAAGCTATTATGGAATCCGCCATGTCTCACGATCTAGCTATAGTCAATACGTTTTTCATCAAAAAGCCTGAGCACTTGATCACATATAAAAGTGGCACAATGAGTTCACAGATCGACTATATTCTAGTAAATCGAAATCTGATCGGTAGGGTCAAAAACTGCAAAGTTATACCCGGAGAATGCGTTGTGTCACAACATCGAGTTGTCGTCATGGATATGACTTTTAAACCAAAATCAACACCTAGAACAGAAAACGAACCAGACCTCATAAAATGGTGGCTCTTGAAAGGAGACAAGGTGCAGGAGTTTTGTAATGAATTAGATAACTTAGTATTCCCGGGAGAAGGTCATAAAGATGTGAACGCAAATTGGATGGACATACAAGCCAAGATTCTAAAAGCTGCAGAAAAGGTACTAGGGCGAACGAAAGGTGGAAAGCGCATATCGATGGAGACGTGGTGGTGGAGTGAACCAGTACGCACAGCCCTTAGAAGAAAGAAAGAGGCGTTTAAAACATGGCAATCCACCAAGACAAATGAAGATAGGCAGCAGTATAAACAGAGTAAGAAAGAGGCCCGACAAGTGATCGCAGTTGAAAGATCCAAAGCTACAAAAGAACTGTATGCATCCTTAGAAAAGAAAGACGGTCATAAGCTCATATACAAGCTAGCTAAATTGCGAAACCAGGCTACCAAAGATTTTGTGAAGAATAAAATACTTAAGGGACCAGACGGAAATCTAGTGTACAATAGCAAGGATATCCTGAAAACATGGCACCAGTATTATGATGGTTTGTTGAACACTAATACTACGGAAGTCTGCTTACCACAAGTTGCTAAAAATCTGGGCCTCGTACCCCCTATAACAACACGGGAGGTTAATGCAGCGCTTAAGAAAATGCCAAACAAGAAGGCCATGGGTCCAGATGGCATTCCTGTGGAAGTGTGGAAGTGTCTGGGTGATGTAGGAATAAACGTATTGACAAACTTGTTTAACAACATACTGCTGGAACAGGGCGGCATTCCGGATGCTTGGAGAATGAGCGTGGTAATTCCTCTCTACAAAGGTAGAGGTAGTAGATATGAATGCACTAACTACCGAGGCATTAAGTTAATGTGCCATACGATGAAACTGTATGAGAGAGTTATAGACAACCGTCTACGTGCCGAATGTACGCTCTCCGAAAATCAGTACGGATTTGTGCCCGGTTTGTCAACAATTGATCCGATATTTGCCATGACCATGATAGCTGAAGAATACAGAGCAAAAGAGAAACCCCTTTACGTTGCATTTCTGGATATGGAAAAGGCTTTTGATCGTGTTCCCAGAGACACTATATGGTGGAGTCTCAGATTTCGTAACATCCCTGAAGCATACGTTTCCACCATTGCCGACATGTACAGAAATGCGCGTTCAATTATAAGAACAACGGTAGGAGTGACAAAATCCATCTCAGTCACTGAAGGGGTCCATCAAGGTTCAGTTCTGAGTCCATTCTTGTTCAGTCTAGTGCTGGATACACTCACTGAAGATGCTCAACAGAAAGCTTCATGGACTTTCATATACGCAGACGATGTAGCGATATGTACATCAAGTCGTCAAGATCTTGAAGTAGCATTAAGCGCATGGAAAGAGCAACTACAAGCAGGAGGATTGATACTAAGTGTTGCCAAGACCCAGTACATGGAGTGTAATGTCTCTACTCCTCGCACGGATCCAATAGTGATTGATGGGCAGGTGGTCCAACAGTGCGATGAGTATAAATACCTGGGTAGTATGATAAACAAATTCGGTAGTCTGGAAAGCAACCTTCAACACCGTATATCCACTGCTTGGGTGAAGTGGCGCGAGCTCACTGGAGTCATTTGCGACACGAGGATGCCCATCAAGCTCAAAGGGCTAGTTTATAAGTCCATCATAAGACCAGTTCTCATATATGGAAGCGAGACGTGGGCTGTTACAAAAAAACATGTTGATACCATTCGTGTGACGGAGATGAAAATGTTGAGGTGGATGTGCGGAGTGACGAGGCTCGACAAGATCCGCAACGTGTACGTGCGTGGTAGCCTCGGGATACGCGACATCGCCGACAAACTGCAGGAGAACCGACTACGATGGTATGGACATGTTAAAAGAAGACCACCTCAATACATAGGCAATAGAACGCTTAACTGCAATTTACCTGGCAAACGAAAAAGGGGAAGACCGCGATTGCGATGGTTAAGCGTCGTCACTAATGACATGTATAACTGCGATCTGGATGAGGAAGATGTCCATGATAGAGCGAAGTGGAAGAAAAACAGCAGGAAAGCGGACCCCGACACAAGACGGGATTAACGCTAAGAAGAAGAAGATATACATGAGTGAGTAAATACATATAACTAACATCTCCGTACAGTATTTAACGAAGTGATCTTCTTGAATTTAATTTCCAAGAATCTATAATTACCATTAAAAGGTAAATTAGATTTATCTTATAAATATAACAATTAATTGTTTTGTAATATAGATCAATCGTTTAATATTCCATGTGAATGACAATGACTTATAGCAGCACTTAAGATAAATTTGAGATTTTCTTTGAGGATCATACTCAATTGCAGTAGATTTAGTCCATCAATACATAAATCAAGCGCTCAATATACAGGCTGTTCCAGGAGTCAACGTGAAACAGAAACGGAGTGGCAGGATTGATTGGAACCATCACGACAAACATCAGAAAGGAATCTATTTCATGCAATTTGAACAATTATGAGTATTTGAGAAATACCTAGAAAATCAATCAAACTCAAATGGATACTATATAGTACGGATAACATCAATAAGTTTTTCAAAAACTATTTGGAAAAGTTATGAATATTACTACTACATACATGCTTTCTTCAAAATGAAAGTAATTTATACAACTATTTTTCAAAGTAAATGGGAAAGTTAAATGATAAATTAACCATTTTTAGATGTTAGTTACATTCATTAATTCTTTTAAGAAATAATATAAACATATAAGAGATCTCCATATTGTGTTGACCATAAATATTATCTGTAATACTGAACACATATAAAGCTCTAATCTCGTAAGCCTACACACTGTCACTACGGTTTACTCGTGGTTTTACTGTTATAAGTTATTTTATAAGGCAACTAAATTTAAATATCCAGCTATTCTTAAAACCTAAAGTATACATTACTTAAAACTTCTTTAGTCTCGTCAAGCTATGCATTGACAGTCTACATGACACTCTCTGAACTTCATTTGTTCACAATAATATCTTAAATTATCTTGAATACACATCAAATAAACGTATGATTTTTGGTTATCCTTCTATTATGTAAAACTAAATTTGCCCGCGACTTCGTCCGCGTTAATTTTTGGCATTGGTAATTAATATATTAAAGAAAGCCCACAAATGGGGCAATACACAACAACTACAAAACTACAGAAATGTTATAAAAATTAAGAATTATGTTAACATGAATAGTTTGGCAGTAGTTAACAAATTAAATTTACAGAAAGAAACTGTTGTCTATAGATATTTTCTATCATAACTCTTTTTTTTAACGAAAGGAATGCTTATTGGCTGTCGATCGTGCCTACATAGACCGGTAAAAGGTACATAGCGATAATGTCGTTTGGGCTAGGAGTTGAGGTCTCGAGTAAGTATATATGGTTTTTCGCTTATATGAGGAAAAGTCGAATATTTTCCGGAATGTAAAGTAGCCTATGTGTTACTTCTGGACGTCAGCTTCCTGTATACAAAATTTTATCAAAATCGGTTCAGCCGTTTGAGCATGAAGAAGTAACAAACATAAACACACCCACAAACTTTCGCAGAATTAGTACCTATACGATATTACCTTTTTCTGACATTTTCATCTCATGTGTCCGTCAACACGAGTTTTGTAAAATAACCGACACGTCGGATTAAATACATCGCGTAGAATATTCGTTCATTGTTTTTTGTCATTAATTAAAACATAAAGACTTGATTTCTGTTGATTATGATACTCTGTAGCTTTTGCTCCCAGCATCACTCGAAACCAACTTTTTAAAAAGAGCACCTATAGAATAAAAAGGAGAAACTTTTTCTAAAAATATAGCTGATTTTTAGAAATATTTATAGTAATTTTCATGAGCTTATGGTAGATATTTTCGGAACGACGACAACATTAACATACAAATACTTATTTAAATTATAAATACACATTAATCAAAATATAGTTTCTCAGACACAAATAACTCGTCACGAGTTCTATTCAGACAATATTAAAAATAAGTCTCCTAATATAATATTTTCAGTAAATCCTTGTTCGTATATAAACTATCACTGAGCATTTTCTTTAAACGATAAAACAAAGAAAACTTTTAAAGCAATCCTCCAGCGACTGGCTTGGAACATAAATACCTATTGAACTTTCAAATTATTAGAGAACATGATATTAATAAGTAATATTAACAGTAGTACTTTGTAATCGTTTAACCTAAAGATCTTATCTTGAAAAAGTATATCCCTATTAGGAAAAAACCTAATAAAAATTCCAATTACATATAAAGTCATTGATTCATTGAGTTGAAATTCTATTTTTACTATAACGTTAAATGAGATCGGTTTTGCTTCCTGTATACAGTTAACTCTTATAATATGTAGATAAATTTTAAAGAAATGGAACAGTTTATCAGTTAGCAAAAGTGAGAAATACATACTGTAGATTATAATTTATCAAAATTGTCGTCAAATCTACAACTAGTGTAATTTTAGAAAAAAAATTACATTATTCGATAAATTTTTAAGTTTATTACAAGAGAGTGACAAAGGTATTGATGGACAAAATTAAGCTTTGACCAATGATTCCTCCTTGTACACTTACCTTTTGACACCATTACTTGAATCAATGCTATTGTCATTAAACAAAATAGAACTTAATTGAGATTCTATGAATTGATACTATCAGTTGACTTAAAAGTACATAATTGCCCGACACTGTGACAATCATTATTGATATATTTATAATACCTGACCAACCGTCCTTTAAATTTATTTTAATAAGCGGTTTTTGAAGTGCACTGAGGTCTATTGGCATTTTCTATATTGGTATATAAATTAAAAATATGTTTTAATTTAAAAATAAGTAATATTCCACTATACTACTATACTACTATTATACTATAATACTATTCTTCACACATACATATAATTATTCTGATGTACAACTCAAAGTTCCTGTTTTCTACTTTAAGATGCTTTAGGAAACTTTATAATGCAATAAATGAAGTCAAGTGATAACTACTTATTTCTCATATGAAAAAAACTCTTTCATTATATTTAAGGTAGACATTTAAGTTATTATTATGTATCACTTCGTTTCAATATCAACCTCAGTAACAAAGCCAAATGCAAGGAGTGAATACTAATAAGATTCTAACGAAAATGAAGTTAAAAATAAGATTTCTAGTTTGTAGGTTTTCATGCTGGAGCCCTGTTATTAAAATCCGATTGTTTTAAAGCTTACCTACTGTCAGAAGTACTTTATTGACATCTCACGGACTTTTCAGAAATATTTACTTGCTAAATAAGATACAAAGAAGAAACAAAAAAAAATTAAATACATTAATAAGATGAAACTTCTCAGTATTCCAAAATCAATGTAAATAAGTACTTAGTAATATTTTTAAGGTACACCAGCCTAGACAGTAATATATATTAAATAAAAGAATTTCTTTAAAGTTCAATTTTGTATTGTATATTATATGTGTAGTGTCCATATTATAGTTATACTATGATATATTTACATATAAAAAACAGATCTTAATGGAGCACCAGCCACAAAATATTCGAGACGATTAAAAGAAAGAAACTAAAAATATTTATCCTTCACTCATCTAAATACAAAGAAAAAGAATATAAATTTGAAAACTTTATTCAATAATAAATTAAAACTTATGTAACATAAAATAATTATATTCTAAGACAGTGTAATAATAACAAATTTATCAAACGCTGATTAAATAAGTCAAGATGAAAAAATGATATCGTCGGGGATAGTGCGAATCCGCGTAACTATCATTGGATAATACCACGTATCTACATTGGAAGCAGATTACTAGAAGAAAGTTAAGGCTAAAATATTAACTAAATTAACGACTTTTAAGGTGATTTTTTCACAATTAGAAACAAATTGAACAATAAATAATAATGTGCTAATCGTGAAAAAATTATTTTAAAATTCGTTCATTTGGAAAATATTTCATTGAAATTATCCAATGGTAGTCCCGCAGATTAGGGTGATTACTGATAAGGGATAGTGCAATATGCCGAATCGTTCAACATTCATTCACATTCGTATAAACCTTGCGCTAGACGATGATTTTGTTCCGGTTTCATATATATGATTGCCATTTCTGGAATTGAATATTTTAAATATTTTAGTTTTTATCACCTCATTAACATGAATTACTAATAAAGTTTATAAGTAGTGAAGTTTTGAAATACCAACCGGTATGTACCTAGTTCCTTTGTTCTGCTTTCTTCTAATATCATATCACCAGTATTAAATCTAGCACCTTCTAATAATAGGCCTCGGACGCAGCAACCATCATCTGGTTTCTTCGCTGGCGGAGCGTTAAGAGTCTGGAGATATAAGTTAGTTTGTAATAGAATATGCATTTATATTTTTTCACATGTATTCTGGCATAAATTTTTTAACTGATTTGGCATTGAATAATATATATTTAGAATAAAGATTTCGGAGACTGTTCCAAGGGCGGTTTGCGAGAGTTTTGGATCCCGAAGATATAATTACTTATAGAATTATATGAAAATAATTCTCTTTTCCATCTTTTCCAACACCTATTACTAATGATATACTAGCAAGCGAAACTGTGGAAACTTATACAAATTCTTTTAATTTAAACTGTACCACTATCTTTATTACGTTCTTTGTCTTACCTCAAAAGCGTAAGCCACGGTATCAATTACAGTAACATGTTATCTAGCATAGTTTTGTAATGCACCAGTAAGGAATGCCTGGAGGAAGTAGAACCCAGAAATCCAAAACACCTTAGGAATCCCACCATCAGCCCACGGCTGCATAAAATGTACTCGGAGACATAAATCTTTCACCCAAGCCGCTGGTAAAAAGACAAAAATAAGTAATGAACCTTTTCTAAATTTATTATGCAGCTCATTTTTGGCCATTTTTTTTTGTGATAAAAATTCCAATACCTAGTTGTTTAAGCGAAGGATACGCCTTAGCGCTCCACATATTTGGAACAGCGTTTTTAGCCAAACTTCCGGACATACTAGTAAAATTACATATGACTTACATACTTATACAAGAGCTCGTCTCAGACATAGCGTAACTGATGTTGGCATTAGCGTGCAATCCGAATAACGACGGGTCATAGTTCAGCGGTAAGGTGCGTATATAACGATCAAGCGATGAAGATTGTTGCTGTTAAAACAGTAATTATAACTTCAAACAAATTATACAATAAAACGGTCTAGAAGTATGAAGAGAAATCATTGGTGTCTGAATTGAATGATATTAACGGTGCGTTCTCCTAGTTTTATTTGAACTATATCTTCGAAATCATAATACAACATAAGGAATTTTTATACCTGTTTATAAGCACCACTCTCATCGAATATCCATCTATCATTGAGTACAGCAGGTGTGTAGTAATCAGCCAACAAACACAACAGACACCGACGGTCCCAATCATCAGTGACTCGTCCACCATAGTTAATATGACCCGCTGTATACGTTAACATCTGAATAAAATGATTCAAAATACCAATTAAAAGTATGTAAACATTAAAATGTATCCTATCTATTATAATAATATTCCAATTAAATCTTGTCCATAATGCAAGCATTGTTCAAGTTATTGCTTTCGTGAACCCTATTTCAATTAGAGACTTAGTAACGAACCTCAACGTCAGTCCTATTGTTCTCCCAGAATATCATACAACCCAACAATACAAATAATAGCAGTTACATAGTAATCTACTACTTATTTTAACAAACCCATTGGTTCTTTCATGTTAACTAATTAATAAAAAGCAGCCTTTTACAAATTAAAGGCATTAATTTACCGTAAAATTAATTAACAAACCCGCAATCGAACTTCATGTTATTCATTCAGAAACATGTGAAGCTGAGAAATATAAATACGAAGATCACCGTCTGTGAATTCGTATGGTATATTATAACCAAGAGGCCCAAACTTCCGTCTTTCTAGAACTACACCATGGAATAGGCATAGTGAAAATAGGAGCCACTGAAAATTACAAAAGTTTTGTTACTTATAATTCACCAGTTCTAAAACCTGAAGAAATAAAATAAAATAGCTTCTTCATAAAGTCAAATGAGAAAATTACATGTCTTTGTTTCGAAGTCATATAACAAATTTAATAAACAAATACATTTAATACTTGTTTTTCTTAATATAAATATTATGGAGAACCTTAAAATTAGGAACTTTGTTGTCTGATGTATTTAAATATTCAAGAAAATCAGGAACTTGTTTGAAAAATTTATATGTATTTAATAATCTTGGCTAAATATAATAACAATTATTATTATAATTACAATTGTACGTCTTATTTATATTTCAAACATTAAATAAATCAGGAATAATTTAAATCCTTGTGTTTTATATGATTATATAGTATATAAGGATAATTTACCTTAAGTACAAATAATATATAAAATACCGTTCTGTAATAACGCCACAGGAAAGAAGGGTGAAGGTGTTGATGTGAGCCACAACCGAAAGTCCTTATGAACTACTTCTGGGACTATTTGCTCCACATTTAACTCCAAGACTGGCATCCATGACGGAGACAAATGACAAGTCTGAAATGTACGTTTAAATATATACAGGGTGTATGAAAAACTGTGTCAACCCTTAAAGGAATGTATACATACATATAAGTATAAGCTTTTTATAAAAAATAGTATAACTTAAAAAATATCAAGCAGAGGTCAGTTACTGTGCATAGGCTAAATAAGTTTTAAATCGACATTATTCGAAAGAATGTTCCAAACATCTGACTCATACACAAGGTCAAGACACCGTATAGTCGCAACGACGCATGCGTGACCATTGACCGCAGGCGCCGGGCCGCCGGCGTTATTATTACTTTTTCGTTAGTTGTTCGAATAGAGAATTGAAAGTGTAAAAATTAGTTATATCGATAAATATTCTATCGACATTTTCAATATTGCTATAAATAGTTATGCTTTTCACATTAAAATAATTTCATTTAAAATAACTTTTATTAATAATAAATATTATAATTTGAAACTTGTTCAGGTAAATTAACTACATATGTTGTATTATTAGGATAAATCGTTTATCTATTTCTGTTAAAAATGGTGTTTTACAATCAAACATAATATTAATGTTTGATATATCAAAATAAGTATCGAAATAATATGAATATTAAATATTTATTTATTGTTATGATTTTTTAAATATCGATATTTTCAATAATGTGAAAGTAACTTCAAGGTAGCGCAGCAGCTGTGATGACGTCATTGCGTGTCATCGTGTTATACCAGGACTTACAAACATTTTGTTACTCGACATATAATAATCATTTAATATTTAATTTTATTATTTTTATTGAAGAGTTTGTAAATGTAAGTTGTTTTATTGTGTTACATTATCGATACTGATAACGTAGTTAAGAGGGTTGACACAGTTTTTCATACACCCTGTATACATATATATACATCGTAAGGTCAGAAGTCTCACTAAAAAGGTATGAACATATAGGTTCAAGTGATATATTATATATATCTAACGCAATCTATTTCATAAACATAGAATCTATAGTTTGACTGTACTAAAATAGCAGCAAATTAGAAAGATAAAGTTATTTTCACCTTTTTATTAATATACATATTGACATTAGGACTGTGATTCTGATGTGATTGTGATTATAACATTCTCTTAAGATTGTTTTTATATTCATTATGAGAAGCACTCTAGCCATAAATTCTATTTGTATAATTAAAAAAATATAAACATTACATTTGTAAGAAAAATAAAAATTTTTACCTGGAAAAATACCCAGTTGCCAAAATCACATCCTACTTTCGTCATAGCTTCGGCTACAGGCCCTTGATCTTGTCCTAATGAAATACTTTCAAATCTTTTGCCCATCTTCATTTTTGTCTTCAAATTTGAACAGATCTATAATATGTTATACACAAATAGTAGATAAATAATCACGTAAGGTAAATTAAAGCACTAAATACATACACAGTGTAAAATGAAATGTTAAAAAAATATATGAGGTCTTATAATAATTAAGTATTATATAAATATTATCCATAGTTAGTTTTAATTTTGCATAGAATTACTGCAACACTATTTAGTAAAGTTATATTTTTCAAGTAGGCGAACAAAAAGTAATATTTACCAGCAGCTGGGTCAGTACCGGTGGAGAGAACGAAAATTATAGGAGCGAGTGGATCAGAGTCGGCGTATAGAGCTGCAAGATCTGCTGGCTGCGGCTCAACGAAACGAGCCCCAAGACCTCATACTACGTAGTCTTGGACGAAGGAAGAAAGATAATAAATTTCAGGTTTAAGTTATAGCTGTATGCTATATGTACAGTACTATTTGAACTTCATTATAACAGTTATGAAAACAAATCAACATTATTTATAACAAAACATACCTGAAGACCAGTAATCAATTTGTCAGGTCGTAAGCACTTTAGAACAAGTAGCTTCTGAAATGCATCTAGTTGAGAATCTAGTCCTTTTGGATACGGAAGTCTGGAACATCCAGGCATATTCTATGTAAAAAAAACTTAAATTTGATTAGTTTATAAGATAAAAAGACGATTTTACTTATGAGTATTCCCGACATCGTAATAATTCTTAAAGAATTTGGTTTGTTGAGTAAAATCCATCACAAATTAATGCATCGTTGGCAATGTCGCCAACTGTAGCATATCCAACCACATCCGAGGAGATATCCACTTTGGTTCGGGGCTCTCAAGTTCCTTGTGTTGAACAAATATTAATTTAATGTAACAATATTATTTTGGATATACCTAAAATTCTGACAAGTAAACTTATTTTCAGTAAACGTGTTTATATATATATACTTTATGAGAAAGCACTTATTGACTGCTGTACTATTCATAGTGTTTATTTAAATTCGAAATAGTATACAAATTTGACTAGAATATACACATATATGAATTTATAAATACATATATAGATACGTAATTCTTATTTAAAATACCTCTTCAATTTTTCCTCCGATTAATAAGAAATTAAATTCTTGGAATCTTATAACTCCCTTGTTAAACAAAATTCTAGCACATAGCAGAAAAGCAAAGAAAAGCTTGTGTCTTTCAAATAAACTCCTGCATACATTCTGGTATAACAGAAATGTGAAATGTTCTATAATGATCTCAACTCTTTCTATAATATCCTCTGTGAAATAATCCATGCATAAATATTTTATAAATACAGATTGATTAAATGGTTAGTCGAATAATAATATTTACAACCATTTGGCTAGGTTTCTGCCATACTCCTTACGAAGATATTATGAACCATTCCAATGAATATTGATACATAGGATCAACATTCGCCATTCCAGACAAGCAAAAAAACAGAATTTGACCTCGATTGGCCACTGGCACGTATCCCAAAGGCGCTTCATCTATTTTAGTTGATGTTCGCTCCATATCTTCTACTTTTATCTAAAATAAATCGAAAGAATATTTCTTAAAATGTAGTTAAGTGTGTAGTATACAAATCCTTAACTGTTAAAATTTATTTTCGTAAATAGTAAAGTCCCTTACGTATACGTTTTCAGACCCGTTCGTAATTTCAAAGAGTCTTTTTGGTTTTCATGAACAAAGAAAGCATCTGATCTACGAGTAATTCTAGTTTAAAATCTGCATACATTAAATATGTATTTTGACACAGTAATTGAACGGAAATTTAAATTAATTTGACAAAATATTCATATAAATACCAAAATTTCAGCACTCTTGATTTTAATAGCCTCCAAAGTTAATATAAGAAGCAAATCATCTACTGGAGATCCTTCGCTGTTAGACAGGCCATACAAAATATCAGATTGAATTTCCGCTAATTGTGTTGCTAGCTGAGCTCGAGACACGATGAGTTGACCTCTTAATTCTTCCAAATCTGGTCGTTCTTGAACTACTACTATAGACAATAATTGTTCTGCTAAACCACTAGTATAGACAAGAAAAACAATTAGTAAATAATCTGTTTGTTTAAATATATTGCATAGAGAATTTGTCAGAAACATAACACGCTCGATAAACATTCCAACTTATTTAATTTGATCTTTATTTCGTTTAATGGAATCGCGTCTAAACTTGATGAATTATTTAATTTTTGTATATAGTTTTTCAACTTAGTGACGCGTCCTTTAATACTACTGCGTTTTAAAATTAATCCTTTTAAAGTAGACATTATAATGCGAACAAAAGAAACAAATGTAAGTACTAACAAGAGTCAATGACCGGCACAGCTGATCTATTCAAACGCGACAAACACTTCTCTCGAGTGGGTAATAAAGTTTTTTACATACGTTCCTCCTTTGTTTAGCGTTGCATCGGACACCTGCAGAGACTGACCGCCAGTTCTCAGCGTGGCATCAACCCGCACGGCCAACACTCCCGTACGCTGAAAACGTCGGCAATATGTGGTTTAAATATTTGCCTCAAATGATAAAATGGGATGCATATGAAACTAGGAAGTGGTTTAAGTTTAGGTTGCGAATTGTGGCAGTGAAATTTACAGAAGTATCAGGAAATAAATTGAAATTCGTTTAAAATAATGAAAAAAAAAGTGCGTTTAAGACGTTGGAATATAAGGTTAGCGTTAGTATTGTAGCAATAGTGATACAATTGAAGTTTTAGTTAAGTTGATTTATGTTACGATGACTTGAAAAATTTGAATTTTAACGGTTGCAGTACAATTTTGATTTTACGGGATATGAGCTTGTACACTTGGTGGATAGCTATAAAAATAGTGTGATATGATAATGGTGATGATAGATAGATGGATGATGATGATAGATGGATGATGGTGATGGATGGATGATTGATAGATGGATGAACGGAGCTTTTGTTGAAAAGGTAGACACTTATCTGATTTGGCCCTGCTTCGGCAGCGTTGATAGGTACTGCCGGCTGGTGCTTACAAATCTTCTTAGTGGTGCTTGAGCGTTAAGCCTGTGCTGCGATGCTGTTGCGAATCGGCGATGGCTTCAAACGCGTTTTCGTTGGATTGAAATATTTCTTGCTTAGCTGTCCTGTCACGGTCGCCACTTTTTATGTTCGATATTTAGACAAGTTAAAGAAACCTTCTTTGGTTTTGCTAAATACCTACCTTTATCTGAAATACAGATGTTACTAAGATAAGAAATCGTAGCGGAATGATATTCAATATTGAAATATAAAGGAAGTGACGTATGTACATAGATAAAAAAGGATTACAAATTTATGTAGAATATCGTAGTTTATATAGACAAAATGTCATATAAAATAAATGTAGTGCAGGTCCACACGTAGGCGCCAACACCTCCACTATTGTTTTGATTCGATGTTTCCGTTATTGTCATTATTTTATTCGTCTTCTTCATTGTTACAAATGTCTTTTGTTTTCCACATAACGGTCCAGTTTCTGAAAAAAAAATTTAGCAATAATGTAATCTATAAATTTACCATTTGTAATATAGTTACATTTAAGAATTCTTCAAGCAGTTTATATGCAATATACTTATGTTTAATTTAAATTTATTTTAAAACTCATGCCAAAATTACGATTGAACTATACATCGACCTTACTGATACCATCGTTTGTGCTACATGCTACAATTCATTCACTTATTTATATTTATTATTCACAAGACACCCACCCCAGTTTTGCAGGGGTGCTTTACAAAAAATATAAAACAGCCTATGTTGCGTATAATGCCTTCAGTACTTTCTTTTTGAGTTAAATGAAGACAAACAAAAATTACATCATCTTTCTTCGTTAAACATAAAAAAAGTTTCAACTCAGAAAAACCTTATATTTCTTATGTTAATAATAGTTTTTTAATATAATAAAATTACAAAAATTTTGTATACAAAATTAATGACGTGATCATGTGAAAAGTGAGCTATCGCGTGGATTTAGTTTTGAGAATTATTAAACTTATGATAACTTTCAAATGTTACGTCTGAATTAAATAATACAAAAATAATTTAATAAACACTATAGAGGCTTGAACACAAAGTAATTTATTATGATAAGACTTAATACTATAATTATGAAAATAGCTTTCCTATAATGGCTTCATGAATGGCAATTTTCAAAATTTGTAAAATAGATATAGTATGTTATCCTCAAGAGATAGACATATACTATTGTGGACTTCTCTGTAGACCTATAGAATATACCCAATGCCACCATACATTGTTTTGTTACATCTCAAAGGGTTTTAGCAGCGTTTTCATTAAAAGATCCCAGACGTCTCATTTTTTCCCGACATCTTCAACAAATATCGTTAATGTACACACAAATCACTACAAAACCTTAATAAATTATATATTAAAACCTATCGAATGGTGAAAACCGCTAGGTAATTGGTGTAGTAGTTTTTCTGTTTATTGCGAGCAGGCAGACAGACAGACGCGGAGGGGGACTTTGTTTTATAACACGTATTGATGACGATTTTGATAACATAGTCAAGGGCAATATATCACGATTTGACATTTTCTAGTTTATCACTTTTTGAATCAATAAAATATAATATTAATACAGACTAGTGTTTGTAATCGTTAATGAATCATTTGTATATTGAGTCGCTTATTGTTTAATGCTAATAAGATATGCACGGTGTAAGATAACGTCACTGAAACCTTTCAAGATAAATAGTAAAAACACTATTATTACTAACTTAATAATAAAAGTGTAGACCGAAACTTTGAAACCTTCCTCGGTCAGTTATACAATTGACACTGAGGATGAAGCAATACGCGTGGAAACAACGAAAATGTATTTTATGTTTGTGAGTGAGCAGTTTACAGTATTTATAGTACCTATCCAGTCCAAAACTTTACAATAGTTTAAAGTAAAAGCTGATTAAAATCTTATCGTTCTGTGGAGGAACTTCAGACATATGTTGAAGAGTATTGTTGAGGATTTTTAAACTTAACTTCGTTCTCCGAGCTATTAAAGATACAAGTATTTCCAATAAATTTATCATATACAGAGATACCCAAAGAGATACAACATAAATCACCAGGATTACTACAAAAAAATAAGAAGAAGTTATGTACCTGTACACAATGTGGTCATAAAATAACTATAGGTATTAATCGAAAAAGATAATCTGCTGAAAACTTGAAATATCTAGTATCTGCATAAACTACTGTTATTGATAATTATCACTTTTAAACACAAGAACTGAATTAATAATATTATTTCAAAATAAAAGAACTATCGTACAATGTGGTGTGCTGTCGTTAAGGAGGTAGTAGAATAAACCGCTACTGCGCATTA